CCGTCTACTTATAGTCATGTTGTGTCAGCTTTTTTTTTTTTTTTTTTTTTTTTTTTAGACGGAGTTTTGCTCTAGTTGCCCAGGCTGGAGTGCAATAGCTTGATCTTGGCTCACCGCAACCTCTGCCTCCTGAGTTCAAATGGTTCTCCTACCTCTGCCTCCCAAGTAGCTGGGATTACAGGCATGGGCCACCTTCCCCAGCTAATTTTGTATTTTTGGTAGAGATGGGGTTTCTCCATGTTGGTCAGGCTGGTCTCAAACTCCTGACCTCAGGTGATCTTTGACCTCAGGGGATCCACCTGCCTCTGCCTCCCAAAGTGCTGGAATTACAGGCATGAGCCATGGGACCCAACCTGTATCAGTCTTTTTTTTAGGTAAAATATTACTTAGAATTTTCAAGAGCAGCCTCTATGAGTAGATCTTTTGATTGTATTCCACTTTCTGTAACAGCCAAAAATGCAGAGTGATGTTTATTTTATTTAGAATGTGCAAATAAGGTCTGGTCTCTGCCTTTTTATTTCTGTTTCTTTTTTTATGAAACAGGGTCCGACTTTAGATAGAGAATGTACAGAAAACCAGCAGGAGGCATTTTCTGCATTGTGAGATGTCAACATAGACATTTTAGATCCCTCCTTTGAGAGTGTGGCTCTTTGACCTTTTCACATCTTGTGTGTTCACCTGCTAGTTATGTGAGAGGCTCCAGGTGTAAATAGAATCTGATGACAGAATCTCTAAGTGTAAACAAGCATCTTAGGAGTGAGAGATCAAGGCCACAAAGTAGCCAGATCCCTGAGCACAACTATACCTACCTGGAGAATGTGATGCTAGAGTGTTCTTGCACTTCTACATACCCAAAAGCTAGCTAATCAGGACAGGTGATCCAGGTTCTGGAGCTCCACCAGGGTACTTCCATTTTCTATTTAGAATCAGCCTGAGTCTCTCCTGCTGGCTTATTATTGAACCGTCAGCCCAGAGTTACTGGAAATGCTCTCACAATCACCTAGGCATCTTTGAGACATTTGAGAATCTCCAGAACAGAATTGTGTCAGGCTGACAAGAGTGGTTAATTTTGCTTCTGTCTTAGTATAAACGAAATGAATCATCCTGTGATTGTTCAAGAGATGTCTTTGGTTGGTACCCAGATGAGAGTTTCTCCAATTCCCTGATACTTGGGTGAAAAACAAGGAGGAGGTCTGCAGACTCAAACAGATAAACTAATTGCTTCCATTTCACATAGTCATTAGAAAAATAGATGAAGCAGTCATGGTCCCTACCATGCAGGAACTTTTAGTCTAGACTAGCAACTGGATAAATGATTTAATTATGCATCATATGGTGGGTACAATAAATAGATGTGTGCAAAAATATGGGCTTTATTTGGGCCATTTTCTTTATATTATGACTTCTGATGTCTATACCTGAACATATATTAATAAACAAAGTTTTTTTTTTTTGCCTTGCTAAGAATACTTATCCTCTAAAAATTATTCTAGAAAACCTTAAGGGATTTGTTTAAATTGCTTATTAGTATGTGATAAAAAATTGACAGGGCAGTGGGGCTAAAAAAAGATAAAATTACACAAACTCTGAGATTTAAGTTTTGTTTTTTTTTTCTTTTAGGTAAGCTTAAAAAAAGAAACAGAAATAAAAATACTCCCCAGTGGCATAAAGAACAGAATTTTACATCAGCTCTACACCCTCCCCCAGCCCTGTTCAGATTCACCCTTTTTGAAGGCCTTATTTAGGTCTTTCCCTACCCTGGAGTCTTGCCTCACACAACTAACTAGAAGAGATCAGAGTTTTGGCTGATGAATCCTGTTGCCTTTTTAGAGTTGGTGCTCACAATTTTCTGAAACCCAGTGGCAGATAAATAGAAAATATAACATGTATTATAGGGTCTTAATTTATTAATTTTATATTAAAACCAGTGTTTACAGAGACATTCCATTTAGCAGCTTGTTTTCTGTTCCTGCAGATATAGTAGTTGATTCACAAGTCACAAAATAGCAAATATAAACACACTAAAAATTCATCTACATTTCATTAAACTCTATTTGTATCCTTCTCAACTGTCTGCATTTAGATTTTATTCTGTGCATTTAAAAAAAATCAATGAAAGATAAACAGAAGAGGAAATAAAAATGCTGGGTCTTTATTCTAAATCCTTGGACTTATTGGACACTTAGTATCAACTCACAGAGTGTTATTAGAATCAAATAATGTGCTATCACAGTGCTTTGTAACATCCTATTGATCACATAGTACCTGCTTAATAAACATTGCATTAGGACATGTGCACATGTTGTTTTCCAAATGCAGACTTACTCAGAGGTTGCTGCTTTCTGTTTTCTCTGTAAACTTTAAAGAGCCAGAAAATAATATGATACTTTAAGATAGAGAATGGTTGTCTTCATTTGCATCAGAAGTATTTGTGTTGTTACAAAACTGCTGAGTGTAAGGAGCTCTGTGCTGTGCCTCATTTTTCTAATTAATGCTAATAATGAACCCAGAGGGAGTGACACCAGCATTGACAGAAGACTTGTTTAGAACACCCATTTATGGTCCATTTCCAAACCTGCAGAATCACATTACATAGAGTGGGGCCATGTATACTAAGTGATTTATAAGCTCATTAAAGCTAGAGTGACAATGCTTAGGTAAGTGGTTATAAGCTCAGGCTTCTAATTAGAATCTCATGACCAATTCACAGAAGTCTCTTTACTTGTACCCTTTTCACAGTTTCTGTTCTGGGTGAAAGCATCTATTTGTTTTAATTAAGTGCCTCATGTGACTCTCAGGTGCCAGAATCAAATTCGTGGAGTTCAAGATACATTCATCAGAGTTAAGTTCCACCTTTGCACTAAAGAATGGTCCAGGAATCTATTCTGTTTGGGTTTGATAAGGACAGGACACTGTGGCCAATATTTCTTGCCCTTTTTTTGAGATGGAGTCTCGCTGTCTCACCCAGGTTGGAGTTTTATGAATGGCACGATCTCGGCTCACTGCAACCTCCGCCTCCCGGGTTCAAGTGATTCTCCTGCCTCAGCCTCCCGAGTAGCTGGGATTACAGGTGCCTGCCACCATGCCCAGCTAATTTTTGTATTTTTGATAGAGATGGGGTTTCACCCTGTTGGCCAGGCTGGCCTCGAGCTCCTGACCTCAGTTGTCCACCTGCCTTGGCCTCCCAAAGTGCTGGGATTCAATATTTCTATTACTGTAGCAGAAACTGCCGGTGTTTGTAACAGGGGAGAGCACCTGGGGACATAAAAAAGAGAAACTTAAATTTTTATCTCTGTGGAGCAGCTCATTGTTCCTGAATCTTTATTGTTATAAAGGACAGAAACGGGTAGACTTTTTCTGTCTTGGGCCTTCTGACTTTGCGTGTGATGGTAACAAGTGAACATGTGGTGCTCAGAATTTTAAAGGCATATTCTCAAGATGCAGGTGTAATTAGTCCAGAAAATCTCATCTGAGAAAGAATTCTAAAGGAGGAGGAGAAAGAGAAAAAGTGACTTTTCTTCAGCTAAACGTGTCTTAGATCGAGAGCTGTGTCTACTCTGCTTTTTGGAATGCCATGCATTTAGTACTTGCAAATCTTCACTTCTATACCTGTGTTTTTTCTCCCTAATGAGTTTATCTTAACTACTTTTAAAAATGTTTATGATAGTTAAGCGTGTCTGAAAAATTTTTCTATATACCAGAGCCTTCTCTACATCATGGCTTCTTACATGCCATGCAGAATTCTCACCATGAATTTGTGGTGTGCAATATTAAAAATGTTCTCCTTGTGACTGTTGAACATGGAGAGGTGTGGATACTCAATATTTCTATGGGGAAACCCTGGGGTTCTTAGTAAAGATGTAGAACGTGTAATGTTGAGGTTCTATCTGTGTTCTTTATTATCTGTATGCATTACACAATTAAGAAAATGCTTATTTAAACAGGATGGCATTTATTACCCAGAAAGTTCTGAAAAAATTATCAAGAGAGACCTCCTTATTAGGGTGCCATAGAAAGACTACTTAAAATCACTATTAAAAATTGCAGAACATGAAAGATATCTGTATCTTGAACTTTCCATAAAACTGATGTTTTCTTATGCTTAAATTCAGACTGTAATTTACTTTAGTGGGGATAATATCTCAGTAGTGATGCTGTGTCCTTCTGGGTGCATCAGCACACTATAAAAACTTGTCCTAGTGCAGTTGATATTGATGTTAATAACTCAATAAGCTCTCTTACAGATTTTTTTCACTATAGAGTTATTTTTCTCTTCATCATTAAGCATCTTTATGGGAACTGATGTGCATAAACTATCACATTTAATCTGGCTGCCTTTTTTTTTTTTTTTTTTAGATTTTCTTTGCATTTATTTTTCTTTGGTAAATGAAAGCTCTCATCTTTGTTTACAGGCTAGAAAAACTGAAACAAACAAACAAAAAAACACAGGCTGTTCCACTTACTGGATGTTTGACAAAATAATCTTTTGGGGCCAAAACATTGGCATTACTGGTGAGCTTGGCAGAGATTCAGTAACTCAGACTTTATTTCAGATCTCCGAAAAAAAAAATCTGCATTAACAAGATGTCCAGTTTATTGTATACATTAAAATTTGAGTGAACCTTCTAACTTGTCTATTTTGTCTGAAAAATATAAAGAACTATGTCTTTTTCCTCTGAAAAATATACATAACTCATTCTGTATTATGTAAATATAGCACTCAAAAATGTATGTTAGTGTTTATGCCTTCAATTTTATGTTTTATCATCCAGACAATTATCATATATACACTGATGTTGTGAATATTTTTCCACTGTCTTTTCTCAGAGTTAGAGAATACATTAGAAAATGTTTATGTGTTGACAATTATTTTATTGGATAATTTCAATCACTCTTATAAGTCAGAATCAGTTCTGTTTACTCTAATTTTACCTTGAATCACATGAAAACTTCTGCCCATAGCCACTTTGTAAATATGTGTGTTTGTGTGTGTTTTCCAGGGACTGTTGACATTTAGGGATGTGGCCATAGAATTCTCTCTGGAGGAGTGGCAACACCTAGACATTGCACAGCAGAATTTATATAGAAATGTGATGTTAGAGAACTACAGAAACCTGGCCTTCCTGGGTGAGGATAACTTTAATACAAAATTCCTAATATAAACTAAAGCTTTCATTTCTCTTTTGTAGAATGTTTTCTGGTAATTTATGCTTTCAGATTTCTGTTTTCAAGAAAATACTGGGGATTTGTCTTGAGAAAAGAATTTCTTCAAGATGTTTCATCTTGACCTGAACTTTCCCCATTCCTGAGCTGATCTGTGTCCTGCACTTTAGATTAAGGCTAATTTCAGAAGTTTAGTGGCATGAAATATTGTTATACCTTAAAATCTAATTGGCATCACCAAATTTGATTCAGTAGTACCAGGCAGTGAAATTAAGAACCTAAAAAATTAAAATATTTTCTGAATATTTAAAAATCTCTTTTATAAATTAATATATTGGAATAAAGTTGTTAGAATATTCTATTATATCCTCTTTACTGAGCACATTACTAAGTTGGTAATTGGAGAATATGAGCAAGATTCATGTTAGTTATTTTTAATAAAACAGGTATTGCCGTCTCTAAGCCAGACCTGATCACCTGTCTGGAGCAAGGAAAAGAGCCCTGGAATATGACGCGACATGAGATGGTGGATAAGTCCCCAGGTAGGTAAGAATGAATACAACAGATGACATGGTTGAGAGGTCCAAAGTCAAGAAGAAAGCCACTCTTTAATTTGGGAAGCTGTGTTTCAAAGGAAACAGTTTCTGGGAAGCCTAAAGATTTTTTTTTAAATTATACTCTTACATAGGGGCATCTTCTACTTATGCCTATAAAATCTAAGAATTCTACTTTCCCTTCAATGATCTTCCTTCAGGTTTACAGTGACAGCCAAAGTACTGTTCATGGCATACAAAAAGAGTGTAAATCTGACTTCTTTTTTCTTGTTTTATGGACAGACAGATATCTCCATAATTTTGAGATACTCTGTTAAACTGTTTTTTAAGTTCTCTTTTTGCATCACGTCTGAAATGTGTGACAGTAGTAGTTTCTGTTCTATTGGTTTTTTTTTTTTTTCCTGCACATTTCATCCCAGTTTTCATTACTGTAGTCTTGAAATCTAGTTTGAAATTATAAAGTAGGATGTCCTTCTGCTTCCTTTTTTTTCCTCAAGATTGCTTTGGCTATTCAAAGTTTATTGTAGTTTCATGTGTATTTTAGGATTGTATTTTTTATTACTGTGAAGAAAAACGCTGGAATTTTGATAGGGAGTTCATTGAATCTACAGGTCACTTTGGATAATATGGCAGTTTCACAATACTTATTCTTTCAATAGAAATAAAATATTTTAAAATTTATTTGTGTCCTCTAATTTTGTTCATTGATGTATCTTTCACTTAAAAGATTTATGAACTCCTTGTTTAAATTTGTTCTAAAATTGATTATTTCATTGCTATTGTATGTAAGATTGTTTTTTTCCTCTATTTTATCAGATAGTTTGTTTTAAGTGTATGGAACCATCACTTATACTTGTATGTTAATTTTATATTTTGCTAATTAACTGAGTGTATTCATTAGTTTAAACAGGTTTTAATATACTATATTTATATCTATATATGTGATTACATGATCTACAAACAGCAACATTTTACTTATTGGTCTTCAATTTCAATGACTTTAAATTTTTCTTTTGACTATTTTGTCTTCTATATACTTCGAGTGCTGTGTTAAAATAGAAGCTAGTTTTGCATTAGTGTCTAAATTTGAAGGAGCAGCCGGGCGCAGTGGCTCACGCCTGTAATCCCAGCACTTTGGGAGGTCGAGGCGGGTGGATCATGAGGTCAGGAGATGGAGACCATCCTGGCTAACACTGTGAAACCCCGTCTGTACTAAAAATACAAAAAATTAGCTGGGCGTGGTGGCGGGTGCCTGTAGTCCCAGCTACTCGGGAGGCTGACGCAGGAGAATGGCGTGAACCTGGGAGGCGGAGCTTACAGTGAGCCGAGATCGCGCCACTGTACTCCAGCCTGGGCAACAGAGGGAGACTCCGTCTCAAAAAAAAAAATTTTTTTTGAAGGAGCAAACACCTCTTCAAGTTTTTACAAACTGGTTTCAGAAAGTAAAAATGTATTTTTGTTGGGCCCGCAGAGTGATAAAATGCCCTCTGGGTTTGTAGTAAAGAGGGGTTGTAGCTTGGCCTTAAGACTGCTGAGTTTGCACAAGGGTCCACCTTTAGTTGTCTTGTTAAAAGGAGCGTGGATAGTTGTAATTCTCATTTAATTTTTGGACAGAGTGAATATCCTTCAGGACTTTGCTCTGCAGGGCAGACCCAAGGGCAGGTTTCTGCAGTCAGGCCTGCGTATGGTGGGTTTTATATCAGGATGTGGATGACAAGTACAAGAGCGGATTTTCCCAGGTAGCTTTGGGTTTCTACATAGGCAAAACTGGCCATGAGCTATGGCTCAGGGAGCTGGAATTGAGTCATGGAACTGCTCCAGGGACCACAGTAAAAGTCAAGGTCTGCAGGCCTGCCAGCATGGCTATAAATGGGTATCTTTCTCCAGGCCTCTGGAAAGGCAGGACCTCCCCCACACTGTGACTGGGAAGAGTTTGGGACATTTACAGAGTAAGTTTAAAATTCTCAGGGGAACCAAGTTCGGTGGAACAATTTCTTGTCTGTAGCCAGAAACAGTAGTTCTGTAGTTTGCCACCTGAATGAGGGCCTGCCTTCTAAAAAGGATTACCTTCAATCTTGCGCTTTAGCAGAGTTTCACAACTCCTTTCCTGGATCTCAGAGTTCTTTTAAAGGCACTTATTTTTGAGCTAGGGTCTTGTAACATAACCCAGGCAGGTCTTAATATTTTGACTGAAAGCAATTCTCCAACTTTTATGTACCGTGTAGTTGTCATTACAGGTGTGAACCATGATGCCTGGTAAAGGCATTTTTGTCAGCAATGGCTGACAGATTTTCTTGCTGTTGGAGAATAAGCAAATAGGGCACCTTTAATTTTTTATCTTATTAATGTCACTCTCCATATAAATTTTTACTATTTTCTACTTCAAATATGTCTGTAATTTTAGATTCAGACATTTAGGGCAATATACTAGAATATACATGTTGTGCCTGAGTTAAATTAGATAATTAGTATGCAGGCAGGCAAAAAGGAATTATAGAGCTGGGTACAGTGGCTCATGCCTGTAATCCCAGCACTTTGGGAGACTGAGGCGGGTAGATCACGAGGTCAGGAGATCGAGACCATCCTGGCTAACACTATGAAACCCCATCCCTACTAAAAATACAAAAAATTAGCTGGGCATGGCAGCACGCGCATGTAGTCCCAGCTACTAGCGAAGCTGAGGCAGGAGAATCACTTGAACCTGGGAGGTGGAGGTTGCAGTGAGCCAAGATTGTGTCACTGCACTCTAGCCTGGGAGACAGAGCGGAGACTCCATCTCAAAAGAAAAGGAATTATAGAAATTTCAACCACTTTTATCAGCCTGTATTTAAATAATAACATAATTTATTCCCCCAATATTTGTTTTATATGTGAGGCTCTAACCATATTCTGCTAAATATATACATAATTTAGCAATGTAAGACTATTCTTTGCTTCTAAACTTGGATTACAGTAGGTTTTTTGTGTGTAAAATAACATATATTTAAAACAAAAATTGACTATCTTATCTGTTAAATGCTTATCTATTAAAAGTTTCTCATTAGCATCTCCTATTTACGATTTTACTGCATTTTGTCTAAAATTTTATTACCACATAACAGATGCCAGTAATTTAAAACGCCTGCCTTCCCTGAATGCACAGTTACAGCCAAACATTGCAGTTATCTAGACAAATTATTTGTTAATGTACATTATTGTTGCCAACTAGATTTTATGAGTAAACATTTCTTTCATTATTGTCTTACGGTTCTATATTAGTGTTTTTTTTTAGTGCAAGTTTCTTAATATCAGTTTATTTTGTCTATTGATTTCATGCATTATAATTTTAGACAATTTACAATTCTGTTTGTATACTTTAAGTCAGTGTCTGGTTTAATTAAAAGATAAATGAGCCATATGTCTTTGTCACAGTCAGATTATATGTGTGTGTTTATAGCTACAAATATGACCCAAATTTGGTTATAGTTTACTTTTATATATTGTATATATTCTTTCTTAGCTCATTTTCTTTTTCTTTTCTTTTTGTTTTTAGACAGAGTTTTGCTCTTGTTGCCAAGGCTAGAGTGCAGTGTGTGATCTTGGCTCACTGCAACCTCTGCCTCTCGGGTTCAAGTGATTCTCCAGCCTCAGTCTCCTGAGTAGCTGGGATTACAGGCATGTGCCACCATCCCCGGCTAATTTTGTATTTATTTATTTATTTATTTTTAGTAGAGATGGGGTTTGCCATGTTGGTCAGGCTGGTGTCGAACTCTTGACCTCAGGTAATCAGCTTGCCTTGGCCTCCCAAAGTGCTGGGATTACAGGCATGAGCCACCGTGCCCGGCCTCTTAGCTCATTTTCAATGTTAGTTTTATCTTGTCTAAGTGAGTAGCCTTGGAAATAGTCTTATTTTCACCATGTGTTTAATGATAAATATGTATTTCTTTTGTGTGAGAAAAACACTTTGGTGATTTGAAGATAATTTTTAAAAAGATGTATATTGTATTTTTTCCAGTTTAAAAAAAAAATATTTGTTGTAAAAACACTTAACATATAATTTACCTTCTTAAATCTATTTAAATGTACATATCAGGGCCAGGCATGGTGGTGGCTCACATCTTTAAAACCAGGATTTTGAGAGGCCAGGACAGGAGGATTGCTTGAGCCTAAAAGTTTGAGACAAACCTGGGCAAAATATGGAGACACCCTCTCCACAAACATTTTTTTTTTTTTTTTTCCTAAAAAGTAGCCAGGCATGGTGGTGTACACCTGTGGTCCCAGCTACTTTTTTTTTTGAGACGGAGTCTCGCTCTGCTACCCAGGCCTGAATGCAGTGGCCAGATCTCAGCTCACTGCAAGCTCCGCCTCCTGGGTTTACGCCATTCTCCTGCCTCAGCCTCCCGAGTAGCTGGGACTACAGGCGCCTGCCATGTCGCCTGGCTAGTTTTTTTGTATTTTTTAGTAGAGACGGGGTTTCACCGTGTTAACCAGGATGGTCTCGATCTCCTGACCTCGTGATCCGCCCGTCTCAGCCTCCCAAAGTGCTGGGATTACAGGCTTGAGCCACCGCGCCTGGCCAAGTCCCAGCTACTTTAGAGATTGAGGGGCAGGATTACTTGAGCCTGGGATTGTGAGGTTGCAGTGAGCCATAATTGTGCCATTGCATTCAATCTTGGGTTACAGATTGAGACCCTGTTTCAAAAAAAAAACAACAACAAACAACAAAAACCTGTATATTTCAGGCATGTTAACTATATTCATATTGTTATGCAAAAGACTTCTAGAAATTTTACGTCTTCTAAAACTAAAACTCAATATCCATTAAATAACATTTACTTGTTTTATGTTCTCTCCAGCCCTTGAAAAACAAGCTTCCACTTTCTGTTTTTATGAGTGTGACTATTTTATATATTTCATATAAGTAAAATCATAACATGCATCATTTCGTAACTGGTTTATTTCAGTGGACATAATATTCTCAAAGTGTATCTTTAAATGTGACAAGATTT